TTATTTACTTACATAAAATTGTTAGATATTCAGAAACTTAGATGGTTTTCATCCTTTTAGGTTTGCAAGTTTCACGTTAACTTTTCGATAATTGCAATTTCTACTCAACGTTACATCGACTCCTCGTTAACCGCTAGTTTTACTTTTAACTTCTCGATAACTAGTTTTCTGGAACATTTATATCAACTCTGTGATTTGGGATTAGATTGATCGATATAATTTTCTTGAAAACTTAACGACAGCGGCCAGAGACCGATTCCTGTACTCGTATTGTATACCTGGATGACCCTGGAAGAAAAACCGTACTTACCAGTTAATTAATCAAATAAGGAATACCAGACTTACCGAATATCCTTCAGGAATACTAAGGTAGGACCTTCCCATATTATTGGGTCCACAATATATCTAGGGTAAACTTCATTCGGACCATCCAGTTAATACATTGTCTCTCCAAAATTTAGATAGTGAATATCAGTTGTTTGTTTGAACCATTGGATTACTTAAATGTTAGTAGCCTACTAATCTCTTGTAAATATATTTTATTGATTTTAAAGCATAGTTTGGCTTTCATATCGGGTATCTTTTCTGTATATAAATTAGTGTTATAGGCTAATTTAATTTGTACTATAAATTTCAAATCCTTACCTGTGAACCAAGAGTACGTACTTAAGGGGCAACTACCCTAATTAATATTAGAATTGTCTTGGTAAAAAGTCAAGAAGATCTTATTTATTTTTGTATATGTGTCGTCATTCTCACAATACGCACGAGGACGATTTGACGTCTGGTCAGGGCTTACAACATCCCGATCATAAATTGATAGAAAATATAATAAAAGGAACCGAATACTCCATATAGCCTGGCATTTTATTTGCATTATAACCCGACCCCTCCTGACTGAGCTTAGTAAACTTTCTTTTTTTTAATTAGTTTTAATAAAATAATTTTATAACTAGTGAAAATTATATTTAATAACAAGTTGGAATTTAAAATCCAATAACACTTTATCGCCGTCACACTTCGCACTTTTTTTTATAAATAAAACTTTTTACAACACATCATGGAATCTTCAACGTTAATTTCTAAAATTTATGTCACTAAAGTATCAAATTAATTCTCGTTGACACATTAAATTTGGACGAACAACGCTCTGACATGTGATTGGTGGGTGTGAATAATTTTGAAATGGGATTATTCGCAGTGTCTTATGCTCCATCTAAGGTTTGTATAATCTAAGGTCATGTAGCTTCCCCTACTTCCACCTTTTCATATCTGTTGTAGATATCCTTTTACCACTGGTTAAATAGAGCACTTTGTTTAGATTTTTGATTATATTACTAAGTTTTAGAAAATATTTATATATTTATAGATGTTTTACCTCAATTGTAAATTTTAGTTTTTGGTGTTCTTGGATTAAAGGTGTTTTTAACACGCTTTCATTATCTTCACCTGTATGTATATTTGTAACTCTCCTTTGGACTAAAAGCAAGTGGCTTATTACTGTCAGTATATCCCACTACCTCAAGTTCGTTCGTTGGCCGAGTGGTCTAAGGCGCGGGTCTTCGCTCACGTCGACTCACCGATCGTGGGTTGTAATCCCGTCCACGGCTGAAAAAAAAATAATTGTTTTTTTTTTCAGCAATTTTTTTTAATAATTAATCGAACTAAAAAGTAAAAAATAAATATAGTTTAAAAAACTAAAAAACTAAAAAACACGCTTTTATAATACATCGAACTAAAAAGTGAAAAATAAATATAGTTTAAAAAAAGAAAAAAAAACGCTTTTAGAGCATATCAAACTAAAAAGTTAAAAATATTTTTTTTAACACGCTTTTATTCAAATAAGCTTAAAACAATAATAAATGGAATATACTAGTATTATTGTGAAAAAAGCGTGGGTCGATTTGTCCATATTTCTCGTACATCGAGCGCCCGACGCCTTTTTCACAATAATACCTATATATAATTTTTAGTTTGATATGCTCTAAAAGCGTGTTTTTTAGTTTTTTAAACTATATTTATTTGTTTTCTTTTGATATTCTATGTTCATAAGCAGATTGGGGGCATAAGTCGGAAATGTAGTGTGCTCACTGAGATCTTTATAGCATTAACTGAAATGTATTGTATCATATAGTAAAGAAGTTGATTTGAGATAACAAAGAATATATTCAAAACATTTGTTAGGAGATTTGTTAGAAAAGAGGGCTAATCAAAAATTTCCTTAGCTTGTCGGAATACATTTAAATAATTTTTTGTTCTATAACCACTTCCAAATGTATCAAGTGTGATTATCAGTTATTAGTCAAGTACATGATGTATATCTGTGGCTTGGTTTTAAAAGGGCCAATGTAATTTTTTTTTATTTAGGCCTTTATACACCGGTACACTACATTTATTTCAAACTTTATTGAGGTAAAACGGCCAATGTCTATCTTCTTCGGTTTAAAAGATGCCAAAATAAATAGGGCCAAAGTTAATATTTGAGAATAAAAGTACTTTAATATAAAAGGGCCAATCTTAACATTGGCCTTTTTTCATTAATATTTCTTACTGTTGCGATCTAACTCTAACCGGCCAAAGTTGACATTGGCCCCTTTAAAATAATGCAAACCTGCCATACGCATGTGATGCGCAACGATTTGAGAATAAGTTCTATTTCATCCAGCAGTAAAGCGCGCTTTACATCTGACAATTTCTTCAATAAATTCATGATTTTCTTCACGATAAATAGTTTTACATTTGTGAATAAATTCATGAAGTTTTGTGTCATATATGTCAGTTTTAACAGGTGTACCTACACACACCCTACAAAACAAAAAAGATATAAATAAGTGAGGTTAAATGTTAAAAATAAACGTTTATTCTTCTTATCTAGTTTTGGCCAAAGTAATTGATGTGTTTTGGTCCTTGTTAGTTAAAAGAGATTGTTTTGTTGGGTGTTAAGAGTTTTTTTTGTTAAAATGTTAAGAATTAAAAGTTATAATATTAGAAAGAAAAGAGCTGCTGCCTCAGCTATGGTACTTGTAGCAGGCTTTTTAATGTTAAGAAAAAAGAATGTAAAACGGAGATGGTGGATAAGACCTTGGTTAATTAATAAAAATGAAGGAGGTTTAAAACTTGCGAAGATTGACTTTAAGAAAGATATTGAGCAGTTCAAACGGTTTCTGAGAATGTCAGAGACAACATTTAATAAGCTGCTCCAATTAGTAGAACCCTATTTAAAAAAAGAAAATACATGCTTTAGGGACGCTATATCGGCAAAAGATAAGCTAATAATAGCATTAAGATTTCTTGCAACAGGGGAATCATATAGAAGCCTAATGTATACGTTTAGGGTATCTGAGTCCACCATATCTCTGTTTGTTCCTTTAGTTTGCAGAGTTATTTATGATGTTTTAAAGGATCAATATTTAAAGGTAAGAAAAACAAGTTCTCTTTGAAATTAAAGTTTAGATACTTTTGTTTGTATACATTTGTAATTCTTTACTATTTTTAGACTCCAAATACTGCTGACGAGTGGATAAATATTTCAAAAGGTTTTGAAGAATTATGGAATATTCCAAATGTATTAGGTGCCTTAGATGGAAAACATATTTCATTTAGACCTTTAAGAAGTGAGGGATCCGTCTACTTCAATTATAAGGGTCATCACAGTATTGTTCTTTTGGCACTTGTCGACGCCAAGTACAATTTCATTTATGTTGATGTAGGTGCAAATGGTCGAGTATCAGATGGAGGTGTTTATAAACAGTCTTCATTGGCCAGAGCTGTAGAGAATAATTCACTTAACCTACCTGAAGATAAACCTGTACCAGGTCGTGAAAAAGCTATTCCTCACCTATTTTTAAGTGATGCTGCCTTTCCTTTATCAGAACATATTTTAAAGCCATATCCTTTTAGAAATATGACTGAAGAACAACGGATATTTAATTACAGGTTAAGCAGAGGCAGAAGAGTTGTGGAGAATGCATTTGGAATTTTAGCAAATCGCTTCAGGATATTTTTGAGCACAATAAATTTAAAAGATCCAGAGAAAATAAAAAATATAACTCTTGCATGTTGTGCATTGCATAATTTTTTAAAAAGTGAAAATCCAAATTTTCTCTTAAACAATGATAAAGAGAATAAATATATATTTCAACATGCCCTGTCTCCACAAACGGGTAATAGATCAAAAAATGCATTTTTGAAGGTGAGAGACGAATATAAAGCATATTTTATGAAGGAAGGAGCTGTTCCATGGCAATACGATGCATATTAACAACTATAACAATTTTGTAAAATTTTATTAAAAAAGAAAAAATAACTATTGTTTAATTATTCAGCTTCCACTGTTTGGGCTTTTTCAATTAATCAGACGTAAAGCAGAGGTGATTGCCCTATGACTTTATTTTATTGTGATATTAAAAAAATCCCATAGGGATCCAACTTTATGGCATACACTTATTTAAATGAACCTTTGATAAGTTATTGAAATTGATTAAAACTAGAATATACAGAAGTAGTAATAGGAGGTGCCATTAATGCAAGAGAAGTCTATTAATTTAGAATATCTGAATCCAAAATTTAATTTGATTATGAATGAAGGTGCTGTACCTCATAAAAATTACAATTTTCTTTTAAAAAGTATTCTTTGATTAACAATTTTGAATATTTTAATTTATAGTACAATACTCTACAGGTCATAAACCTAACCACAGAGCAAGAATTGATAGAATATAATGAATACATCACATATTTATATGAATATTAAGCACAAATAAACTTGTATTTCGTACAGAGCAAGAATTGCCAGAATATAATGAATACATCACATATTTTTTTATGTGAATATTATGCACATAAATAAACTTGTAATAGGTATCAAAGTAATTAAGAAAGTGGGAAAAAAGTATACAAATATTAGTTCAAACAATACAAATTTATTACAATTAAAATACTTAAGTAAAAAAAATATGCATTTTATTAAAACAAAACTGAGTACATTAAGTTGGAGAGCTTCATCCCATAAATTTTGTTAATTCTTCCTCCTCCTTTTCTTCTAGGGCTCGATCTATCAAATTCTGAATGTTTCGTCTTAAAGTTCGAAATCTTTGTTTATTTTTAATTAACTTCATTTCATTTGATATCATTCTAAAAAAAATGTTTTTTTGAAACAGGCATAACAAGAAAAATAGTTTTTGTGCTATAAATGTCTTGAATTATCCAGTATAAGCAAAAATAAACACTACGGAAATACTATAGATTTTTATAACACTAGGTACTTACACTGCAAAAGCATCAACAGTATCCAATTCTTGTAGCTGTGATGAATCTGTTAATATTGTTGCAGCTTTCTCCATCACTGCTACAATCGAGTCATTTGCCTTCTGTTTTTTATTTTTCGGTTCATCTGTCGATGCTCTACTCGTTGGTGTTCGACTGGTTGATATGCGATTGGTTGTTGGTCGGCTAGTTGATCCTCGACTAACTGATGGTGTTTCGTGACTGATATAATTATCATGACCAGTCTCATGTATGCTGTCAAGATTCTTACAATCATACTCATCTTCTTCTTCTTCTTCTTCTTCTTCTTCTTCTTCTTCTTCCTCCTCCTCCTGAGTTTCAATAAAAACTTCCAGGTTTGACTCTCCTTTTCGGACAGGAGCAGATTGATCCAGAAATCTGAGATGCTCATAGCTCCACAATGATGGTACATAAACTTCATCTGCTCCTGCCCCACTAACCATACTCTTAGAAACCTTATTTTTTTCATAGAAATACTGAGTACGCAGTGAATTAATTTTTTTTTTATTTCTTCCAAATCTATATTTATGTTAAATAGTATCAGTAATTCGGTTTGCATTTCTTTAAAAGCCATATTCCTTCTAGTCTTATTTTTATAATGGGGACTAACAACATCATACAAAATAGTTTTTGTCTCATACAAATTAATTAAATTTAATGTATGTTCCCTCGTGAAGGAAAAACTCTCCTAAAATAGTTAAATAATTAATACATTAAACTTATTTATTTTAATTATACTGTCTTACCTTTCCACAACTCCTTCTGCTCATCTTCCTCAACAAAATATAAAATAAAGTTTTAATTGTCAGTCACGCTAATTAATCTAATAACTCAATAATAATAATAATAATAAAAAACAACAATACAATTAATAGAAGACCACACCCAAACAATAAACGACTCGAATAAAATAAAAATGATTCCAAATTTCAATTTCCAATAAAACGCTACAAATAATTAAATAAAATTATTCAACATTTGACATAACCTCGATTTAGAATTTTATTTGGCAGGTTGGTATTTCTGAACTTCAAGGTAAAATTGAAGGAAAAATAGAACATGTTCTATTTATTGTGAAGAAGACCTTGAAGAAATTCATGAATTTATTCACGTGAAGTTTGGCTTTACATCTTATCAATTTATTCATGAAGTGACTTCATGAAGAAATTGTCAGATGTAAAGCGCGCTTAAAACAGATGGTTGTTTGGCTCGTATTATTATGTTTTAAACAAAGTTATAATCAGTTTGTCTTTGTTTAGTGTTCTATAATAATTTGTTATCTATGAAAAGTGTCAGAACGTTCAAAAAAACTTGTGCATATGTGTCAGCTTGGAACAACTGGTAAGTAGTAAAAAAACCGATATTTTTTTAAAATAATAAAAGTAGTATTGAACCCTAATAAACAGAGGGTAGTTATTTTCCTATATTTTGCACCCCACCTTGTGTTAATGCGGTACTTTTGTTTGTATATGCTATTAATAGACAACAATATTGTTGTTTCCTAGTTTCTTATAACACGGTATGTTATTTATTTTAATAGTTTGGGTCCACCCTGTATTTATTTTTGAGTTTTATGTGACTGTGATAAATTTAGTTAATTCTTTATATGATTTCAATATAGGTTTGTTAACTTGCATAAAAGCTGTAATGTCTTTTATAACATTCGGAAATAAATATACAGGGTGGACCCAAACTATTAGAATAAATAACATACCGTGTTATAAGAAAATAAGAAACATAACAAATATAAAGTACGATTGATTTTAAATATTCTATTTAGCTATCAATCAAAGCGCAGAGAAAGATAACCCAAAGCAAACCACTTCTATTGATGTGTGTCCAGGAATGTTTTCACTAAGTAAACAACCTATACAAGAAATTAATAGGGAAAATAATGTAGGCGTTAAGGAATATACGGAGCTAAAATTGGCGGTCGTCAATCATGGTGCCAGTACAAGTCATACATTAAGTATTAACAGACGCCTACATTGTACTTTGTGTATGAAATGGATCTGAAAATTTTTTTAAACTTTAAAGTTCAGCTCTCGGGTAAGTTCCAACATACAAAGACTAACACTCTAGGTGAAAAAGTAAAGTAGAGAAATAATGTATTCTCCTGATTCATTAGTCTCTTAAGAAAAACGATAAGGAAATCTGATGTAATAAACTTAATGCCTAGTTCCAGCACACTTTTAGGAATACCTGTCTATAAGATTCAACACCTTACGTTGATAAAGTTAGTCGACCCTATTACATGCAATTTTTGAGCACGATTACCGCATCTACGTCAACAACTGATAATTCTCTTTCGGATACTGTCAAGAGGATAAAACTTTTTAGTTTATTATATAACACTTTTCCGTCTGGCAGAGCCAAATAAAATACATTTATATATTATAAGTAATATTTCCTAATTATTTTTTAAGTTTTTGTTAAAATAATAAATCTTTATATCACTAAAAATGGCGTGTTATTTTCCAACCTAAAAAGACCAACGTCAGGTAAAACTTTACTTTTTTGCCTATCAAAAAGGCCAATGTCATTTTTTTTTGGAAAATCACACTTCCGTGGAAAATTTAATTAATGTCCCATGTAAAAGCTACTACTTTAAAAGATATACCAAAAACATAATCGAATAACATAAATTAAGGAAAAAAGAACTCAAAATAAGTAACAATTTTTAAATTGTCATGTCCCACAATTTAGCAATTTCGACATTGGCCCTTTTAGAACCAAGCTACAGATATTTTCTCGTTTATTTAACGGTATAATACATCAATCTATGACAATCATATTTTATTTCAACATATGCCAATCAACATAAACTGTATCTCAAAACACTGCATGCTGATTGGATTAAAAAATTCAATTCATTACCAGAGTAACGCATCAGTGATTTAGCGAAACGTCAATGTGAAGTTTTTCAAAAAGGTTAGATTTAAAAAATTAAATTTATTACCAGAGTAATGTATCAATGATGAAAAATGGACAAAAATCGTTTTGGTTATTTAAATATACAATTTAAAAACAGAACAGACTTTATCTTACGAAATAAAAGCAAATATTGTTTATAAAAGTTCTGTTTATATTGTTTAATAATCTTTTCAAACAACACTCCAGGAAGAACTTTTTTAAGAACATTCTATTGTTTAAAAAAAGGAGAGTAATTCAAACTCAAATGTGATCAAGACGTAAAATAACATAAATAAAACTAGAAGCCAATATCACATAATTACGAGCGACCGTTTCCCTTCAGAAAACAACTACTTCTTTGGCTAATACCCAGCCCAGCTCTGTGGTTTTGAAGTTTTTCTCAAAACTGTACTTCTTTATCATTTCATCCTAGGGCATATCCCAGGTATCTTTGGTCCTGAAGCAAGTAGACTTTCGTAGGATTACTCCGTTCCTGATCATTCTAATCGTGTCCTTTTTGCCACATTATCATTAAATGTAGAGGGGTGAGGCTAAAGATCACCTCCATTCCAGCCATAGGGCAGGTTCTCATTGCATTGGTGATGCAAACACAGGCTAGACTTTCTACTTTTGAGATATTAGCTCTCGTAGTAGCTAAACTGGTCTGTTACTCCAGGCTATAGCCCCGTAAGTAATGATTGGTCTCACTCTTGCAGTATACATCCATCACAGTGTGTTCGGGTTACATCCCCATCGTCTACCCGCAATGTTTTTGCATACCATTAGGGCTTTTGTGGCTGTTATTAACACATTCGCGGACAGAGCGGCATATACCGCTTTGTTTGCAGGGACAAAGCGTAATATTTCCCTTAATTTTCAGATACCACAGAAATGAAAGCGTGAAATGCTGCGGAATAATATATATATAAATTAATGTGAAGCTAAGCCTACTGCCCAGCAAAAATCACAATATTTCCTAGAATGTGCTCCTATAAAATATTATTGCAGTCAACATTGTAGTTGTAAACACGTAGTGTTTATGTATTTAAGCGTAAACAATTCTTGCTTTTTGTTGTGTTTTTGCATTTACTTAGCATACCTCACGACCTAAATGATGGGAGAAAATTAATACACGATGGACCTGTGCATGATGGGAAGCACAGTCGGACAGATGGGTAATCGAATTGTCCAGATATGCATTTTCCAGGTAATATTCCAAATCGAAAGGATCCGCAGAAACCTTTTTATATGAGATACAAGGAATGCTTGAAGCAAAAGAAACATAAAGAAACCAAGTATATCTGCAAAACATATCCTGACCAACCACCATTTTGTGTTGTGCCGTGCTTTGAGTTATATAATGTAAATAGACAGTAATTATACTTATTTGTGTTTGAAAATCTTGTCTGTAGTAGATATTTAAAGAATAAAAATAAATTGTTTCAAAAATTAACCGCGCTTATTAAAAAAAAAAAAAACAATAAAAAGTGATAACAAACCCATAGACTTGTTTCAATCATCTATCTGTAAAGATGAAATACGGCATATGTCACTATTAAAAGTTACTTATAGCAAAGAGCTACAATTTTATTTTTACACATTAGTACTGTTCGCTGTAATTGAAATCAAATATAAACAACATTGTTAAAGAATAGAGGCGTTCTATTTTAATTATTAATTATTATTCATCTGACCATCATCAAGCGGAGGTTATTTGGATGTGAGAACAATAGGCGAAAATTGAAATGTTAAGTAGATATTTCCATGAATTCATTTTCTCCGGAGAACAATCGAAATAATATTTGAATCAATTAAATTCCCTCCGAGATTCAAACAGAAAACAAGAAATAATAATTAATGGAAAACGCAAATATTGGGGGATTTCATCAACGTTTTCGATCATATTTTCGAGGAAATTGATAATTAGGTTTGGATTTTGCTGTCAGTAGATGTTACTGTTTTGAAGAATAGTCGTTGGATTTAAGTTATTTATTAATAATTGTAACCAGAATCAGTTTGATATTATTAAAATGATTTGCGAATATTTTGGATAATTTACTAATACAGTTCATTCTACGAGACCTTTACACATACATTTTAAATAAGTAGAGAAGTGTTTGTCAAAAAAATGTCTTCTGATTCTAATCTATTTTATGAATTATGTTTAACAAGTGTAATTATACACCCAATATTCCTGCTATTTGCTGAATATTTAAAACGGCACAGGGTAAAAACTCAATTTATGACGCCTTTTTGGCAACTTGAACTCAAATGTCGAGAAATGGTCAGAAGGAACTTATCTTTCTTTGTAACTTATTGAAATTTTCTGAATTTGTCATGTCTAATATTTTTTTGATGTTTCCTAATTCTTTGTTTTTAAAGTGTAATAGTTTTATGTTATTCAGTTTGATACAACTCCAGAACTCTATGTTAATATATAGGGTGTTTCAGAATAAAGTACCGTAAGCAGAGTGACTTGTAGAACTTAACACAAATATAAAGAAAAGCTCAATATATTTTTTTTGTAAAC